TAACCGGTTCGGTACGTTAAAACATTTTTTTTGGGACCATTTTTTGGCTTTTATTATTTTTTTTTTATAATACCCCCGTCCTTTCCGGGTATTTACCCGTTAAGGTCCGGTATTTTCCTTATTTTATAAATTCGTTTTTAATAAGCTTGCTTTATACGTTTAAACAATTTTTTTCGTAATATCCTTTTTTGGGATTTACAAATTTTTCGATTTGTTGTAACCTATTCATTTAACCAAATATTTTCGTTTTCGCAAAGGCCTTTTATATTTTAACAAAGCTTTTACTTTAAAACAATCCTTTTCTTTTTTTTCGATTTTTGGTTTTTTATTTTTTGGTTTTTCGCCGGGCTTTTTTTTAAACGCCCGCAATAAATTTGCCGGGAATACGTTATATATCCGGTAGCTTACCGGAAGCTTTAACCGGAACGCCAAATCGATTAACCCAACCATTTTTAGGACTTAAAAAGGTCCTAATTATTTATCCAATAGCTTTTTCAACGGCCTTTTCATTTTAATATTTGTTGTATTTAGCAGTACCCAATCGCTTATCCCGAAAGGCACCGGGGTTTTGCTTTTGTTATAATACTTTTTGTACGTATGTTAGGGGTTAATCGGTGCAAAGGCGGGTAATTACCGGGTTACGGGCCGGATGCCGTGTTTCTTTTGTTAAACTTCCGTAAATTTCTTACCAAAGGTGTTATCGCCAACAAAAATTGTTCCTTTTTTAACCTCCCTTTCCTTTATGCCTTTTTGGGCACCCGGGGTTGGTTTTTTAAATCCTTCGCGTTTTAAGCGCTTTCGTGCAATTTAAGCTTTACCTTATTTTTTAGCTTCGTTATTATACTTTAGCCGCGATACCGGTAATTTGCCGGCATGTTTTTGGGGGGTCCGTACCCGGCTAGCTGCCAGCGCCCCTTTTTTTTTTTGCCGGGCGGTTTTGCCCGTGCATTTAACGCTTTTCGTTTTTTGCCGGGCGGTTTTGCCCGTGCTTTTAACATATTGCCCTTTTTCGATACGGTTTATTTTAAGCCGTTTATGCCGCGCGTACGACCCCGTAAGTAGCCGGTAACTTACGATATCCCGTTAAACCGCTTCGATGCCCGGCAACGCTTAAGGAAACCGGTTATAAAGCTTTATAGCATTCGGAAAAATGGGTTCGTACCGGCATATAAAAAGCTTTTTTTCCCGTTTAAAATTACAAGCCCTTTTTTTTCTTTTTTATGCATTTAACAATTATTCCAATAATTTTAACGATTATAACCGTAAGTAATTGGTATTTAACCGCTCTTTTTAAATATTTGGATTTAACCGGTAACTATAAATGTTATTTTTCGTACCCAATTACGTAAGGAAAATAATGTTTTTTCGGGTATTCGCTTCGGGTTTTTCGGTTTTAACCGGCCCGTTAGCCTTTTTTAACGACCTCCCGGTATTTTTTTTAGTTATTATGGTTTAATCGGATTTGGATTTGGTTTTGCCGAAACCTTTAATCTTTTAAATTTTTAACGATCGCTTTATCGGTAACCTTTCGGTAAGCCTTTTAAATGTCGCGGGTTTATCGAGCCCTTTTGCGCTTACAACCTTTTAAAATTCCTGCAAACGTTTTGCCGGTAACCCCCCGGCGGGCTTTAACCGCCGCGGCAAAAAAAACCTTTGCCGAAAAAAAGCGTAAAGCGCGCAACGAACGCCGCCGCAATACTTTCGATTTTAATAAATTTGCCTTTAAAACGGACATTGCTTCCTTTTCGCTTTATATGGGTATCCGCAACGCGCTCCCGTTACGGAAAATTATTAATTTCCAATAAAGCAATAATTAAAACCTTATTTATTTGCCCTTTTTTAAAAACAATTATACGGAGCGTACGGTATTTTGTAGCCGTTGTTTTGGTTGTTAAATATATTAAAATTATGCCATTAACCCCCGTATACCGATATACTTCGATAATTGTACGGGGTTTTTTAAATATATTTATTGCAAGGACGTGGTTAGCAACAAAGCTTGCGTTAAATTTTTTAAATGGTTTTGGGAAATGGCCCAAAACCTTTACAAAATTTTAAATACCGTTTACAAACGGTTGCCCGAAACGATACCGGAGCTTTTCGAAAAGCTTATTAAAGCTTAATTTCGCGCCCGCAAAGCTATTTAAAAGGCCAAATCTTTCCATATTATATCGGCCAAGCAATTTGCGCGTTACGAACGTTAAGCCGTTATTTAAAAGCGCATCCAGCGCAAAACTGTTAGCGCTATAACATTAAAAGCTACCCAAAACATTTCCCAATAGCTTTACGTTATCGCCGTTTAAACGAAAAGGCAAATTTAAGCTTCGGTTAGTATCGGTAATTTTTTTAACAAAATAAAAGCGTTTTTTAAGCGTTTTAAAAAAGGTATGGTTGCTTTTTTTGGTAGCATTGCCGCTAGCTTTGCTACGATTGCGGCGCATTTGGATACTTAAGCTTACAGCCGCGCGGTTCCCCGTAAAAATGCGGCGTCCGTATTGGCGCCGGGAAGTACCGCTTTCGGCGCCAACGATTTTGGCGGCAACGATTATAGCGCCAACAAAAAAAACGTAATTTTTAAAGGTTTTGGTTTTTTTGAATACAGCGTTTAATCGATTTTTTTTACATATTTTTTTAATTAATTATTGGTATCCCTTTTTCGAAAAGTAATTAATTTTAAATTTTTTTCGTTAATTTATTATAATTAAAACCATAATTTTCTTTTGTTATATTGCTTTTGCAATATTGCGAAATCCCGGTATTTATATTTACCAATTAAATTTTAATGCCCCAATAAATAATTTTAAAATGCTTTTTTTTCGCCCTTTTAATAGGTTTAAATACCGCCGATATGCATTTGCCGTTACCCAAACGTTTAGGCCCGTTCGTTATACCATTCGGAAATTTTTTTATTTCCTTTTCGGGCAAGCAATAATATTTTTTACCATAACGTACGTTTAAAATGCGGTAATTGCTTTAGCGTATTGCGCCAAGCATGCCTTTTACGGGCTTTTCGAAATATGCTATACTTTGTATGTTTTTCGGGATTTAAATGTATCGCACCATTAATTTGGGGCGTTTCCCGTATTATACCGTTTTTATTTAATTTTTTGTTTATAAAGTACGATATTTTACGGTTATTACAAACCGTTTACGGGTTTTTTTACGTTTTTTCCCGGTGGTTAGCCGGTTCGGCACGTTAAAACATTTTTTTGGGCTATTTTTTTAGCTTTTATTATTTTTTTTTGTAATACCCCCGTCCTTTCCGGGTATTTACCCGCTAAAGTTCGGTATTTTCCTTATTTTATAAGCTCGCTTTTAATAAGTTTATTTTATACGTTTAAACAATTTTTTTCGTAATATTTTTTTTTGGAATTTACAAATTTTCCGATTCGTTGTAATTTGTCCATTTAACCAAATATTTTTGTTTTTGCAAAAGCCCTTTATATTTTAACAAAGCTTTTATTTTAAAGCGATCCTTTTTTTTTCGATTTTTAATTCCTTATTTTTTGGTTTTTCGCCGGGCTTTTTTTTAAACGCCCGCAACAAATTTGCCGGAAATACGTTGTATATCCGGTAACTTACCAAAAGCTTTAACCAAAACGCTAAACCGGTTAACCCAACCATTTTTAAAATTTAAAAAGGTTCCAACCATTTGTTCGATAGTTTTTTTAACGGCCTTTTTATTTTAATATTCGCTATATTTAACAATACCCAATCGCTTACCCCGAAAAGCACCGGGGTTTTGCTTTTATTATAGTACTTTTTGTACATATTATTCGTTTTTTTTAGCAATTTTTTAACTTGTTTCCTAATTGTTTCCAAAGCCCCCGTTTTAATTTTAACCGTTGCCGAAAGTTTTTTTTTAATTACCTAAAAATTATAAAACTTTCGTAAGTAAAACTTTATTAGCAAAAACGCCGGGGTTTTTTGCAACCCCAAATGTACGTTCGTATTGTGCATTTACGTTGCTAAATGCAATAGCAACGCCCAATCGTTTTGCTTTTCGCAGCAAAAGCACCGAAAATAATGCTTTATTGTTTGGTTTGTCCGTTTCGTTTGCCCGTTGGTTTAAAAATAATATGCTATCGATAGCTTTTTTGCAACCTTTAAATGTCCGGCGAAAGTTATTTAAAACCCGTTTGTAAATAGCTTATTCCGGTTTAATACAATCCTTTCGGGCGTTTTTAGCAACCTTTAAACGTATGCAAATAAAAAACTTTTTAATTTTTATTAATTAATTTCGTAAACGTTGGAATAAAAAAGCTATATTTAATAAACCGGTTAACCATTACCAATATTGCGTTGCGCTTTTTGCCGGTTCCATTTACCAATATTAAAAGTTTTCCAATAAAATCCATCGATAGCTTTTGTTTCGGGCGGTTTGGCACGGGCAAAAATGTTAATAGCCCGTAAAATGTTTGTATTTTCGGTTTCGTTTGCTGGCATATTTAATACGTTCGTACGTATTTGCGTACGTTTTTAGCCATACCCGGCCATTTAAATTACCGTTTAAACTTTTTTAAAATTTTGGCCATGCCTTTGTAACCCCCCGTTAAATTATCGTATTGTTTTTAAAATATTGTTTATTTAAACGGTGCTAAATTCGAAACCCAAACTTTTTTTTTGTGCTTAAACAAACCGTTGTTAATTTTTTAAACGTTAAGCTTGTTTTTCCAAGTACCGTTTTAAACGAAATCGTCCTTTGTTTGTACTTCGAAAATACGTTTTAATGTTATTTTGGTATCCTTTTTAATAGTAATCGTTTTTACATAAATTGCTTTTTGGAATTTGGCTAGCAAATCGTTTCGGAATTCCTTTTTTGCTTTATTGGTTTCCCCGTTTATTAATATGTTTTAAAAACGTTTTAATAAATTATTCGCGGGATTCCGGTATTTTGGCTTCCATTTAATTGTAAAGTCGTATTTTGTTAAATTTTCGAACCATTTTGCTTGGCGCTTTATTACTTTTTTTTTTATTAAAATATAGGTATGGTTTAAATGGTTAGTAATTATTTTAACAATTTTTTGTAAATAAACTAAATAATGCCGTTACTTTTCGAAAACTTTTACGATCGTTAATAATTTTAAATTAAAGATTGCATAACGCAGCTTTTTTTATCGCAATTTTTTTAACATGTAAATTACCGGGTGCTACCGGCCGTTTTGTAGCTGCAATAGTACCGCCTTTATCGTAAAAGCCAAAACGTTAATCCGTACGCACAACGGTTTCGAAAGGTTAAAATGCACCAATACCGGAATTTTTGTAAATAACAATTTTAATTTGTAAAAAGCCTTTTTCGCAATACTTTTTAAATAAAATACGGTATTTTTGCTAAAAAGGTCCGTTAAAAGCATAATAATTTTTGCGTAGCTTTTTACGAATTTCCGATAATACCCCGTAAAGTTTAAAAATACCTGGATATTTTTAACGCTTTTCGGTATCCTTTACTTTAAAATTGCAACAACTTTATCCGGCAAAATTTCGATTCCGAATTTGGTTATCCTAAACCCTAAAAAATCGATATTATCCGTTTCGAATTTGCATTTGGCCGGGTTAACGTAAAGTTTAAACCGTTCAAATCGCTTTAGCACCGTTTTTATTGCTTCGCGGTGCTTTTTTTGTATTTTCGAAAAAATAAAGATATTATTTAAATATATAATGCAATTGCTATTAATTAATTTCCCAAACGCTATATTAATAAAGCTTTGGAATGTTATTGGGGCGTTGGCCAAACCGAAAGGCATTACCAAATATTCGTAATGTCCATATTTGCAACGAAAAGCAATTTTTTACTTGTTTTTTTGTCGGATCCGTATTTTGTAATAAGCGTTTTTTAAATTTAGCTTAATAAAGTACTGGCTTTTAAATACCCGGTCGAATATTTTATAAATTAACGGGAATGCTAGCCGGTTTTTTTTAATAACCTTATTAAAACCCCGATAATCGATACAAAAGCGAAACTTTCTGTCCTTTTTTAAAACGAACAAAATCCCGGCGCCGGCAGGGCTAATTAAATGCCAAATCCAACCCTTCGCTATAGCTTTATTAAAATACCCCCGGAAAGTTTTTAATTTTTTTTCGAATAAAGGATAAATGCTTTTGTAAAGCGGCATCGTTTTTTTTTCCAATTTAATCGCGTGGTTTTAGCCTGTATATTTTGGCAAAAGGTTTAATTTATAAAGTTGCGCATATTTTGCAATTATTTTTTTAACCCATTTCGGAAAAGCTTTTAGCCCTTTTCCGGGGTTTTCCGGGGTTTTCGGGCGTGCAACCGTTAGTACGGTTATTGTTTATCCCGATTGGATTAGCTTTTTAGCTATTTTTAACGAAATTATTTTAACCTTTTTAATAATTACCGGAAACCTTTACTTTATATTTTTAAACCGGATTTTAATATCCTTTTGTTAAAACCAAAGCATGTTTAACGTAATATTATACCCGGCCCGGGGAATTATTACGTAAAATACTATTAACTTTCGGGTTATTTTTTAATTATCCGTTACCCAAATTTTGTATTTCCTTACCCTTAGCGTGGGCATGCGTTTTTTAGTATCGAATTACGCTAGGTAACCCCCGTTTGGTACCGGTATTTTTTTTGCTTTTACCAAAAAACGGTTGTGCAATAAATTAACGTCGTTCTTATTATTAACCAGCGCTTTTAATTTTACCCGGCGATCGTTAATCCGTAAATATATTTCGGTTTTCCAGCGCGTTCTAACCGCTAAAGCGCATTTTTAGGCCCCGGTGCTTAAACGGCCAAATAGCGGTGTTAAATTGGGTAGCGATATTTTGCTTTTTTTGGGGCACGCCGGCCGGATATGGCCTAATTCCTTATACCCGTAATACCGTATTTCGGGCTTTTTCCCTTTCGCCCTTTGTATGGTCGTTAAAGCCAACGGGGTTTTTGGGTTATCCGTTCGTATTTTGCATGCTGTAATAATATAGCTTAGCTGCCCGTATTTAAAGCAAATAACCGGCTTTTTAAAGGTTAAAATACTTATATCCCCCGGGGTTCTTTTGTGCGGTTCCAATATTATTTTTGCTTTAAAAGCTTTGGTTTGCAATTTTTCTATAATGTAAAAAAGGCTTTTAAATGTTACCCGTTTTTAAATTTTGGGGCGAAACCGGTTAAAAAGTAATGTTGTTTTTATTTATTCGGGTGCTAATTCGAAAAAATCGTTTTTTACCAAATCCCAACGAATCCGAAACGTTTTAAACGATTTGTAATTTTTTTATTTAATAGCGGTATTTCCCGCAAGCTTTTTAATTGCTAGCCATATCCGCGAATCGGGGTTTTTTAACCTTGCTTAAAGCCACCGCAAAAAATCGGCCCAAGTAAACGATACCCCGGTATTTAGGTAATGCATTTGCTTGTATTTTGTCCATTATGCCCGTTAACGATAATCGAAAATGCTAAAAGTTATTTAAACCTTTATACGGTTTTTATTGTAGCGTTTCCCTTTGCTTTTAAAAATAAATTCGTAATCGTTAATGTAATGGGCAATATTTTGCTAAATTGCCGATTTTTTAAGCATAAAAAGCTTAAAAATAACTTTGCTTTACGTAAAACCTTTCCGTCGTTTAAAGGTATTTTTTTTATTTTCGTTTAAATTTTTATACGCATGCTTTAACCTTTTATTTTGGATTTTTTAAATTAAACGGGCGCGTTTGCTTTAAGTTTTTAACGCGTCGTTTATTTTTTGCAATTCCTTTACGGAAAGGTTTTTAAAATCGTCGGGAATTTGCGGGGTTTTTTTGGTATTTTGTTTTGGTAGTTTAACGGCTTTTTCCAACGTGTTTAACGTAGCGTCGGGCGTTATTGTAAACGGTGCGAGGTCGCGAATGCCCTTTTTAAGCTTGTTCGATCCTTTCCGGTAATTACCCGGGCTTGCTCCCTAAATAAAAAAGGTGTAAAAAAAGGAACAATATGTTAAAGGTTAATCGGTACAAAGGCGGGTAATTACCGGGTTACGGGCCGGATACCGTATTTCCTTTGTTAAGCTTTTGTAAATTTTTTACCAAAAATATTATCGTTAATAAAAATTGTTTTTTTTTAACCTTTTTTTTTTCGTGCCTTTTTGGGCACCCGGGATTGGTTTTTTAAATTTTCCGCGCTTTAAGCGCTTTCGTGCAATTTAAATTTTATTTTATTTTTTAGTTTTGCCATTATGCTTTGGCCGCGATACCGGTAATTTGCCGGTATATCCCCGGGGGGTCCGTGCCCGGCTGGCTGCTAGCGCCCCTTTTTTTTTTTTTACCGGGCGGTTTCGCCCGTACATTTAACGCTCCCCGCTTTTTGCCGGGCGGTTTCGCCCGTGCTTTTAACAACGTATTATTCGCTTTTTTTAGCAATTTTTTGGCTTGCTTTTTAATTGCTTCCAAAGCCCCCGCTTTAATTTTAACCGTTGCCAAAGGTTTTTTTTTAATTACCCAAAAGTTATAAAGCTTTCGTAGGTAAAACCTTATTAACAAAAACGCCGGGGTTTTTTGCAACCCCAAATGCACGTTCGTATTATGCATTTACGCTATTAGGTGCAACAGCAACGCTTAATCGTTTTGCCTTTCGTAGCAAAAGCACCGAAAGTAATGCTTTATTACTTAATTCGTTCGTTCCGTTTGCCCGTTGGTTTAAAAGTAATATGCTATCGATAACTTTTTTTCGACCTTTAAATATCCGGCAAAAGTTGTTCAAAACCCGTTTGTAAATAATTTGTTCCGGTTCGATACAATCCCTTTGGGCGTTTTTAACAACCCTTAAACGTATGCAAATAAAAAGCTCCCCAATTTTTTATTGGTTAATTTCGTAAACGTTAGGATAAAAAAGCTATATTTGGTAAACCGGTTAACCATTACCAATATTGCGTTGCGTTTTTTGCCGGTTCCATTTACTAACGTTAAAAGCTTTTCGATAAAATCCATTAATAGCTTTTGTTCCGGGCGGTTTAATACGGGCAAAAATGTTAATAGCCCGTAAAGTATTTATATTTTTGGTTTCGTTTGCTAGCATACTTAATACGTTTGCACGTATTTGCGTACGTTTTTAGCCATACCCGGTTATTTAAACTACCGTTTAAGCTTTTTTAAAATTTTGGCTATGCTTTTGTAACCCCCCGTTAAGCTATTGTATTGTTTTTAAAACATTGCCCGTTTAAACGGTGCTAAATTTGGAATCCAAACTTTTTTTTTATGCTTAAATAGGCCGTTATTAATTTTTTAAACGTTAAGCTTATTTTTTTAAATGCCGCTTTAAATAAAGTCGTTTTTTGCTTATGCTTTAAAAATGCGCTTTAATATCGTTTTAATGTCCTTTTTAGTAATGGTCGTCCTTACGTAAGCTGCTTTTTGGAATTTGGCCAATAAATTGCTTCGAAATTTTTTTTTTGTTATATTGGCCTTTCCGTCCATTGGTATATTTTAAAAACGTTTTAACAAATTATCCGCGGGGTTTCGGTATTTTGGTTTCCATTTAATCGTAAAATCGTACTTTGCTAAATTTTCGAATTACCTTATTTAGCGCTTTGTTACCTTTTTTTTTATTAAAATATGGGTATGGTTTAAATGGTTAGTAATTATTTTAATAATTTTTTGTAAGTAAATTAAGTAATGCCGTTACTTTTTAAAAGCTTTTACGATTGCTAGCAATTTTAAATTAAAAATTGCATAGCGTAGCTTTTTTTGTTGCAGCTTTTTTAATATGTAAATTACCGGGTGCTACCGGCCGTTTTGCAGCTGCAATAGCACCGCTTTTATTACAAAAGCTAAAGCGTTGGTCCGCACGCATAACGGTTTCGAAAGGTCGAAATGCATTAATACCAAAGCTTTTGTAAATAACAGCTTTAATTTGCAAAAAGCCTTTTTTGCAACATTTTTTAAGTAAAATACGGTATTTTTGTTAAAAAGGTTTGTTAAAAGCATAGTAATTTTCGCGTAACCCTTTACAAATTTCCGATAATATTTTATAAAGCCCAAAAATATTTGGATATTTTTAACGCTTTCCGGTATCCTTTACTTTAAAATTGCAATAACCTTGTTCGGCAAAATTTCAACCCTAAATTTGGTTATTTTAAACCCCAAAAAATCGATACTATCCGTTTCGAATTTGCATTTGGCCGGGTTAACGTAAAGCTTAAACCGTTCGAATCGCTTTAATACCGTTTTTATTGCTTCGCGGTGCTTTTTTTGTATTTTCGAAAAAATAAAAATATTGTCCAAATACACGATGCAATTGTTATTAATTAATTTCCCAAGCGCTATATTAATAAAGCTTTGGAACGTTGTTAAAGCGTTGGCCAAACCGAAAGGCATTATTAAGTATTCGTAATGTTTATATTTGCAACGGAAAGTAATTTTCCATTCGTTTTTTTATCGAATTCGTATTTTGTAATAAGCGTTTTTTAAATTTAGCTTGGTAAAATACTAGCTTTTAAATACCCGGTTAAATATTTTGTAAATTAACGGAAATGCTAACCGGTTTTTTTTAATAATTTTATTAAAACCCCGATAATCGATACAAAGGCGGAACTTTCCGTCCTTTTTTAAAACGAACAGGATTTTGGCGCCGGCGGGGTTAGTTAAATGCCGGATCCAACCCTTTGCTATAACTTTATCGAAATACCTCCGAAAGGTTTTTAATTCCTTTTCGAATAAAAAATAAATGCTTTCGTAAAGCGGCATCGTTCCTTTTTCCAATTTAATTGCGTAATTTTAACTTGTATATTTTAGCAAAAGGTTTGATTTATAAAGCTGCGCATGTTTTGCAATTATCCTTTTAATTTATTTCAAAAAAGCTTTTAGCTTTTTCCCGGGGTTTTTCGGGGTTTTCGGGCGTGCAACCGTTAGTACGGTTATTGCTTGTTCCGATTGGATTAATTTTTTAGCTATTTCCGACAAAATTATTTTAACCTTTTTGGTAATTACCGGAAACCTTTATTTTATATCCCCAAACCGGATTTTAATGTCCTTTTGCTAAAATTAAGGCATGCTTAACGTAATGTTGTACCCGGCCCGGGGCATTATTACGTAAAGTACCATTAACTTTCGGGTTATTTTTTAGCTATCCGTTACCCGAATTTTGTATTTTTTTACCTTTAACGTGGGCATGCGTTTTTTGGTATCGAGCTACGCTAAATAGCCCCCGTTTGGCATCGGTATTTTTTTTGCTTTTACCAAAAAACGGCTATGCAATAAATTAACGTTGTTTTTATTGTTAACCAACGCTTTTAACTTTACCCGGCAACCGTTAATTCGTAAATATATTTCGGTTTTTTAGCGCGTTTTGGCCGCCGGGGCGCATTTTTAAGCCCCGGTGCTTAAACGGCCAAATAACGGTATCGAATTGGGTAACGATATTTTGCTTTTTTTAAAGCACGTTGGCCGGATATAGCCCAGCTCCCCATACCCGTAACACCGTACTTCGGGCCTTTTCCTTTTCGCCCTTTGTATAATTGTTAGGGCCAACGGGGTTTCCGGGTTATCCGTCCGTATTTTGCATATTGCAACGATGTGGTTTAATTGCCCGCATTTAAAGCAAGTAACCGGTTTTTTGGGGGCTAAAACATTTGTATCCCCCGGGGTTTTTTTGTGCGGTTTCGATATTATTTTTGCTTTAAAGGCTTTGGTTTGCAATTTTTCCATAATGTAAAAAAAGCTTCCAAATATTACCCGTTTTTAAATTTCGGGGCGAAGCCGGTTAAAAAGCAATATCGTTTTTATCCATTCGGGTATTAATTCGGAAAGGTTATTTTTTATTAAATCCCAACGAATTTAAAACGCTTTAAACAATTTGTAATTCTTTTGCTTAATAGCGATATTTCCCGCAAACTTTTTAATTGCTAATTACATTTACGAATTGGGGTTTTTCGATTTTGTTTAAAGCTATTGCAAAAAATCGGCCCAAATAAGCAATACCCCGGTATTTGGGTAATGCATTTGTTTGTATTTTATCCATTGTGCCCGTTAACGATAATTAAAAGTGCTGGAAGCTATTTAAACCTTTATACGGTTTTTACCGTAGCGTTCCTTTTTATTTTTAAAAATAAATTCGTAATTGTTAATG